TTCATTGCTCCTGTTGTTCCTGTTATTAGGCCGATGGCATAGGATATGCCGTTGGTGGCAAAAACAGTTCCTAATGATGATCTGATTGCTTTAGCAAAGAAAACGGAGATGATTCCGATTAAAAGTTCAAAGGAAAGTTCTAGAGCGAGCCTTTGGATTTCACCTTTTATCTCCTTATTGAATGCACAGCTGAAAGGAAATTGTCCACTGATTTACACGTTTTATACTGCTTTGCAAATGTATAAGGGAATAAGCGAAAAAAAACGGTAAAACGTATTATTTAAAATAAGAAAGAACCTAAATGTTTTAATTAAGTATATAGAAATATATTATATAAGAGTCACGAGGCGCAAGCAACGCCAGGCATCGACGTCCGCAGTCAGCGGTCACAAGCGGTGGAGCGCGCACAGGCGCCGCCATATTGGAGCTGGAGAAGATGCAGCATTCCCCAAGGAAGAGTACGCGGCTGAATGGAGGGGAAGCCACTCCTTTACCGAGAGCGAATCAGCAGCCAGCGGGAAGTGGAACGGGAACTCGGTAGCGGGTGAACACCACCACCATTGGTACCCCGGGCACTACGGTGAAGTAGAAGTACTGTTGTCACAGCTGCGAGCTCAGCGCCGGAGACGAACTAGTCTCCTCTATGGAGAGGATCGCATCGTTGGAGAAGATGCTAGAGAAAGTCCGAGCCCGGGAAAGTGCCAATTTCGCGCCAAGCCCAGTTGGCGCCAACAACGGGGTCGGTTTGGTGCCCTATAACGGTAACGGAGCGAGCTGTGCGGCCTGCACGGAATTTGTGGAACCACTGTGTGCAACAAGCACTGCGCATAGATTCGAGCTACCGTCCGTGAGCGCCCACAATGTCGCCACTTGTTGGATCCTACGCCGCTATTACGCCGTATGGAACCCACGGAGCATACGGACCACGAAAGCTTCCGGACTTGCCTGCATTTGGAGGGCAGGCCGAAACGTGGTTTGCACTGCCTTGGATGTCGAGGGAAAGGAGCCGTCGAGTGCATGCGAGCGTCGACCATTACAAAGGAGAACAGGAGGATCGGCATGGAGGTTGTCCCATCTGCGGAAGTCGGGAAGCCGGGAAGGTTGTGAGCATTGGGAGCATTGTGAGGAGGCACCGACTCTGCTGTACCAGATCTTGCTATATGCAATCTGAGTGCCAGATCAGTGGATGCCGGAGGATGCATCATCGTCTGCTACATGACGCGGACGAGGAGCAGGCCGCAGCAGCGAGGTGGTTTGCGACGCCACGGAGGGAACCAGCAGTTAGCAGTTTCCAGACGCAGCCCGGCCAGGATGCCTTCGCTACGAGATGTTCACAGGGACCAAGAACCAGCAGCGAGCAGTTTCCAAGAACACATTGGAGAGAAGTGCTCCGGGTGAAGCGAGAGCGCCCACTCAAAGGATTTTAAGCTGCGTTGACACCGAAGGAGGCCGCCTGCTGTACGTTACGCTGTACGGAGCTAGTAGGAGGGTGGATACGTATGCGCTTCTAGGCGAAGGCGGTGGACAAAGGGCTTCAGCACTATAAGTCTTTGCCAGCTGTGCTCTTCCACTTTAGAGAGGGAGCAGTCGGAGTGACATCAAGGAGATGTTCCACCAAGTACTGATCCGATCCGAAGATAGATGTTCCCAACGATTTCTCTAGAGAGATGGCGATGACAAGAGAGATCCGGATGTCTACGAGATGAAGGTAATGACATTTGGAGCAGCATGTTCGCCGAGCACTGCACATTACGTGAAGACTCTGAATGCCCTGAAGTTTCGGGATTCGGATCCGAGAGCAGTAGGCCATCACCGACCACCACTATGTCGAAGAGCGAGGCTATCAGAGTATCTACCCGGGTGAAGGAGATACACGAGGATGCTGGATTCGAGCCGGCTGGATTTGGAGACGGCTTTTGGCCTGGGCAATTCCAGAGCGTCGGATAGGATGACGCTGAGCAAAAGAAAGGAAAGGACGTCGCGACATTCGAGGATTGGTGCCTTACCTGGATGAGAACGGAATTCTGCGAGCTCACGGAAGAATTGATGCTGCACTGTGCATACCGTATAGTCCGAGGAGGCCGGTAATGCTGTCACACAGGCACAACCACACAGAGCTGATTGTGCGACATTTCCACGACAGGATGCAGCATCAAAACGGGGATGCTACAATTGCCAAGATCCGGACGAGATTCTGGGTCTCGTAGATGAGGCGTGTGATGCGGAGAGTCATCTCCTCGTGCAACGTGTGCAAGTTGCAGCTAGCGCGGTCGTTGCCGCCGATAATGGGATTCCAAACGGAAGACAGATTGGACGCGGCCATTCAAATATACCGGATGGGACTACTTTCATTCATCTGGAGCTGGCACATAACCTGTCAACGGTTTCCTGCATAATTGCGATCAGGAACTTCGTCTGCTGACAATGGCCTATCAAGGACAATGAATCGACCCGTCTCTAAAGTTGCAGTTCTGGATTTGGGTGAAGCGGTACTTCAAGGAGTCGGGGATGTCAGGGATGGAACATTGTAATCGATAGTCAGTATTTTTTAAGTGATCTTATGCTGTGAAGCAGCTTAAATGTGTGCAGGCACACTGTTTTATCGGCGTCGCTAGTTGGAAATTAGTCGGGAAAACGTAACATTTTCATTGTCGTGCGAAAGTCTGGAGAACACTCTTACATACTTTTTAACGAATCTAGTATACCCTTTTACTCTTCGAGTTACGGGTATATGTACAAAGACTGTCAACAAAATTCACGAAAACACAAAATTTTAACACAATGACTCTGGTCTTAATAAAAATAAATCAATATTGAAAATTTTGAAAGTAGTTAAAAAAACTGTCAACAAAATTCACAAGGTTTAAAAAAATAGAAAGCAAGTTATCATATTTATTAGGAATTTCGTGCTTACCCTTAACTTAAATTTCTTGTCTAACAAACAAAGGAATAGACTCAGATAAAACTTCACGAAATTGTAAAGTCTAGTAAATTTTAAGAAGTTTTAAGAGGTGAAAATAATTTTTTTTAAGGGTGGGCAAATGTTTAATTCTTTAAGGGCTTATATTTTCTAAACTAACAGTTTTTTCAAAATTCTAAATTTTATCTATGTTAAATCAAGTCAACTTAAAAGTCAACTTTTTGAATTTCTATAATTTTTGAAATTTCATATCATCAAAACTGGATGTGGGCAAAAAAATACAAAGTCCTGACTTTCTATATTTTAAGCAAATTCACTAGAAGCTACTTACCTCTTATTTTAAATCATTATAGATCTAACTATTAGTTGCATGACCCCCTCAGAGTATTATGTTCTGACTATAATAGACATTATCTTATTATCTGCCGCTCTTAAAGCGATCAATACTATGTTTATTTACATAATATTTATGTGTCCCAAAAATAACCGAACTATATATTTAAATCATACAGCATACAGCGCCATCTATTGAAAATTATTTGCAACAATAAAAAAATAATAGGTTGGCACATATCTCCCTTCCGCTTTTTTGCTCTTTATTCAATGCTTTATAAAAGGTGTTACAGTGATCGGATTTAGTTCAAATATGCGCCGTTTTGTTCGATAATCTGTTTCCATCAAGCAGCCATTACCGAGGTACTGAAGAACATTTCTATAAATGACATAAAAAATCTATGCTTGCGCTGGTTGATCGTTCCAAACGTTGTGTTGAGTCAAAAGGAACCTATTTTGAATAAATTATAACTTTCAAAGATAATATGTGTATAATATTTTATATCCAGAAAGTTCTGTTATTTTTGGGACACACCGTGTATTTCCTCATACCTCTACTATATTCTATATCGCGTCTATCTTCACACGAATCCGTACCGTACGATTCACGGCAGACCCTCGGTCGGAGGGCGGGTTTTGTGACAGTTTTGGTCACTTTGTGGGTGACCAACTTTTGGCCAATCGGTAGAAACTTTTGGCCAATCGGTAGCAAAATCATCTTTGGAAGCTGCATGCTTGATCTCAACATTTTAGCTTTTATTAATCGAGGGCAGACGGACATGGCCATTTCCATTTCCAGCATAAGACGCTGCTGCGCAAAGAGTTTGGTATATTATAAAATCATTCTTAGAATTTGATTACAACGTAGAATATGACTAGCGCCAAAATACCGTTACGAGTGAGTCAACGGCGTTGCCGCGCTGTCGCCGAGTGTAGATCGATGAGCGAGTCGAAAATGCGAGCAGTTGTATGCAGATGATTGCACACGCCGGCTGGAATTCGCTTCACTCGGAAAGTTTTCATGGCAGACCAGCCACAAGAAAATAACAACTCCGCGACATATGCTTTATATGGTCGGAAACGCTTCCTTCTGCCTGTTACATACTTTTCAACGAAACTAGTATACCCCTTTATTCTACAAGTTACGGGTATAATTATATATCGTCAAAAATTGCATGTATATCGAATGGAAGCAATTTACGACCAAAACTTAATAGAAATAATATCTTTAAAAAAAATCTGTCTTATAGGAATTTTAATTATAATGAATTATTTAATTATAAATACATAAATTATATATAAATATAAATACTTTTCTTTCCATCCATGTTTCATTCGTCTGTGCAGTAGAAATAATACTTTCGGAATAGGTCAGATAAATTTAAAACTGTGTGGCGGGCAGACGGATATGGATATACTATGGACGAGGTTTCTCCTTCACTGCGTTGCAAAGTTCTTGGAAATAATTATATCCTCTACAAGGGTATAAAAAGATGATGTATATCGAAAACATGATTTCTTTCTTTTTTTATTATTATATTATAATATTATATATTATTATATATATTTATATTATATATATATATAATATAATATAATATTATATTATTATATTATAAGTTTTAAATATTTTTTTCAATGTATTTCTTATGTGTGGAAATAAAGTTATCAAATACAACGAATCAATTATTATATTGTACATGCTTCATTCAATACTTAAAATTTTATAACTTTTCAGAGCAGCAACATGCAACTTGCTACTATTTGTCTTATCTTAATGTTACAAGCTGGTAATGCGTTTAAAAAACATTGAACACTACGTACAAATAATCATAATTATATCACAGGAAAAAACGAATGCGGCCTAAAAAGTCACGCTGAACTAATACGCTTAGCGATAAAGGCGGATAATAAGATTAAGGATCTTATCCATAAAGTCTCAGGTTTTGTAAAGGGCAACTCAGAGTTTAAAGATAACTACGAAAACCTAAGAATCCCGTTGATGGAAAATTATACAAGTCTACCAACTAAATTAGTACATATTCGAGAATTTAAGGTTTACAACATGGAAAGACTTAATTTAGAGGAAAGAATCAAATCAGCGATTTCTAAGCTACACACACCAATATCAGACGATTGCAAAAATTTGAGTACAAATCTTCGTAAGCATATGTTATTAATGTTGGTTGCTACCAATAAAAAAAAGATTGATGCCTTACATAACTTTGAAAACGGGTAAGTTTTTAGAAAAACAAAATTTAGTGTTGCATGGCAAGTTTTACTATAGAATCGCAATCCATTCAAGCCGAAAATGTAAGTCTACTGATTTTGAGAAATTAGTAGCGAAACAAGTGGAACGGTATAATCGAGCTCCTCGGCACAACATGTTTTTCGCATATCGATATAAATTTTCAAGACAAATAATTTTATGATATAAATAATTGAAAAATGTTTAAAAAATAAGCGGCGTTAGAGTGCGGTACGTCCTGAGACAAATTTGCACATCATAACCATACCCTGTATGCTGCATTCTGCATGCTTAATATAAACTATACACCTTTGTTTCCCGAGAACACAATGTTAATGCTAGCGATTAAGAATATAATTTATTTATAGGGTCAGAAACGATTCCTTCTATCTTTTACATACTTATTCACGATTCTAGTATACCCTTTTACTTTAACAGGTATAAAAATTTAAAAATAAATTATAGTTTCATTGTTTTTGATTATATTATTATTATTATTTATTATGGTTTATTTTTATTATAATTATTATTATTGCATATACGCTTCGATTTACTGAAGCTGGCGTCCTTTCTTTTTATTTGCATCAACCGCATTTAAAAACTGATTCTGGCTTTGGTTACATAAGAATCCAATGTTGTAAATATTCCCGATATAATTCCCTAATTTAGCTATGAAATATTCGCATTTGTGTCAAATTAGTTGATATAATATTCCTTCATTGGAATACTTAGATTTCCGTAGTTTTCTTTAAACTTTGAGGTGTCCTTTATAAGTTAAAGACTTGATGAATTAAATTATTAATCCTTTTATCCGCATTTATTTAATTATTTCAGTGAAAAAATAATGTTTCTTTGTACTTAGTGCTCAGCTATTGTGTAAAGGCATTACCAGCATGTAATATTATTGTATTGTGTTCACATAACCAATACACAATGTACGCAGTGTTATACATAAATATTATTTAAAACACATTTTAGCTCTTTGGCTACAATACTTACATAAGCTAGCGGTAGCGGTGCAGTTGCGCAGTCTTAAACATATTCATTAAATATTATATGTTAAACAAGATTCATTCTAATGAAAATTATTATACAAAGCAGACATGCGTCCAACATTTAAAATTATTAAATTTTAATACGGTTATTCCTGGAAAGCGGTTATAAATAAAAAACAGGATAGAATGCTATAGTCGAGTTCCCCGAACTATGTCTCTGCGCTGCGTCTATGTCTCTGGAAGCTGCATGCTTAATCACAACAATCTAGCTCTTGTACTTCCTGAGATCAAGGCGTTCATACGGACAGAAGGACGGACATGCTCCGTTTGACTCGGCTATTGATCCTGATCAAGAATATATATACTTTATATGGTCGGAAACGCTTCCTTCTGCCTATTACATACTTTTCAACGAAACTCTCTTTTACTCTTTTACCCTTCTACCCTACGACTAATGGGTCTAATAAGATAAATATTTACAAGTTGCATTCGCTGCTCTGATAAAGAACGTTGCCACGTGCTTTTATTTTTTTCATTTAACAAGGTGTCTTGCCAATTTCTTCCGAGATAGCAAACAAAGATTGGCTACGTTCCCTCCACTGCACGCATTTTCGCCAAGCCTAATATTTCACCCACAAAAACGGCTTCACATTTAAAAATGTTTAATTTTATTACCCATTACTCGTGCAGTAAAAGGGAAAATAGTATCGTTGAAAAGTATCAAGGTAGAAGGACGCTTTTGCGACCCTATAATGGCTCTGACCATGTCCGTCCTTATGAAAGCCGAGATCTTAGGAACTAGTAGCTAAAAAATTGAGATTAATCATGCAGATTCTACAGAAACAGAACGTTGCAACGTTCACTGTAAAACCGCCAAGAACTTTTGAAAAAATGTTTTAATAGTTTTTCGTTTTTTTTTTTCGTTTTGCCTGTGTCTATCGGTATACCAAAAAATGTTGCCCCCTCTAACTACCATAAATTTGTATAACTTTTTTTTTTTGGTTAATATTATATTTAATATAATATATTTATTATATTTAATATTAATATTTATCGGTATGGCAAAAAATTTAAAATTTCGCACTCCCTTAGTTGAATATAGTGTATCTGAGAGTCAAGGAACTCGACAATAGCGTTATCTCTTGTTAGACATTAATTTAGCATAATTTTTAGACTTTGGTGTGTAACCCATTTAGATAAGCATGCAAATTACATTTTTTTTGATTCGAAAATATTTTTGAAATATATTAACAAAAGCGATCTTTTTATTTGGTATGGCTTTTTAGATCCCCAATGTGATTTCACAAATGCTTTGTACCTATAACTGTGGCTTTTATCGGCGACAGCGGCACGAGCAGCGAAGCTGGACTTTACTCCGAAGATTTAGATTATTTAAATCTGTGGCCAGATGAATCTTTAGTTTAATTTATATGGACTGATAAAAACTTTTATGCTGACGTATGTGTTTACAGGCTGAACCCTTTGTTCGACTAGGGAAAAAGATTTATGTCGTCTAAGAAGTTTACATGTTTATTTCGTATTTCTTTGCATAACTCCTATAATTGGCTTTTGTTGCTGGACTTATTGTATTGACTAATGGAATAATAGGTATTAAACCATAGGTATTAAATTTAGTATAGGTAAACCTAATGTTTTGGTGTCTAGGGTATGTTACGTATACCCTCATTTTAAGACTCACACATAAAGCAGCCAGAATCAGAAGCAGAGGGTACAACTACCTAGTTGAGTCAGACTGAATGCACCAAATAAAATGCAGTTCGACAATAAGCGAGTGTCAAAGCCAGAAGCCCCAAACGTTTACATGGAAATTATACTTCAATAATTGGCCATGTTCATCATACGGTCCCAAAATAGGAGAAGTAGTGAAATATTATTCCTACCCATAGAACCAACCAATTATGGTTCTCAGCCCTCTAAAAGAGTGGGCATTCTCGGAAGCAGAAAAAAAGACGCTCTCGAGAGAAGACAGTGTCGGGAAAGAACAATCTCGGGAGGGGAAGTCTCGGGAGAAGATAGTCCCGGGAAAAGACATTCTCGGGAGGAGACAGTCTCGAGACATAAAGATTTCGTGTCTAAAAGGAGAATACCGATTTCGTGCCCAAGGTGAACGAAAAGGAATTATTCCAGAGAGGACGCCTTCGCTCCGATCCTGAACGAAATTCTGTGATTCAAGAATAATGGACTGGAATGATACAATGAATGGAAAAGGACTCCCCGTGAAGGAAGACATGCTTTTCGAACCAACAGACAGGAAGTCAAAAAGATACCTCGTGAAGGAAGACCTGCTTTTTGAACTAATAGATGGAAGTTTCCAAGATGGGCGGCAAGGAGACCAAAGCCAACGCCGTGAAAGTAATAGACCACAAGGACGAGATTTTAGTCGTGCAGCAAACACTTAATTTAATTGCTATAGTAATAGTGATTCTCACGATGCTGAAACTCGTGAAAACTTACAAGCGATCAGTGCAGCGTCGTCGTGACCATCACAACGTTTTGGAAAAGATTGCATTCAGCATTCCAAAACCACAATAAGGTTATGACGTGAAAGCAGAACTAAAAAGTGACAGTGACAATATAAGCCAGAAAGTTCAACTTAAATAATTACAGCTGAACAAAAGGAAACAGTGCATAAAAGCATTTTAAATGCTAGCCCAAATAAAAAAGCAAGTGAAGCAAGTGAAGTGACCGAGTAATTGGAGAAGCAGATAGGGGCTAAATCGTGCCCCATTGAAATATATATATTTATACAAACGTACATATCTATTTAAAATACTTTGTTATTCTTTTTATGTGTATAAAGTTTTTTATCTATAATATGTTGCCGCACGTATATATGTATGTATAATTCCAACTTTATGTCTACTAACACCAACGCGTCGAGATCTCATCGCGCAGGATTAGATTGGGGTAAATTTGACGTGACACAGTTCCCAGATTTTCTTTATATCTATTGAATATATTGTGGTAGGATAGATACTCGTAAGGCCCACAGTACCATGTATGCACCATGTATTAGCTTAGGTTGAGGTATGAAGCACATGGTGGCAAACAGGAGCGCAAGATCAAATCCTCTTATGAGTAAGAACCAAATTGTCATCTCGTTCTTAATCATAAGTTAGCATTAAGAGATAAAAATGTACACCTAGCGCTCACGCATACATAGAGATATTGGGAAGCATAAGTAAAAGGCGAATAAGCAAAGCGCGGCATTAGGTGGCGAGTTCTTGGTTAGACGAGTCGAATAAAGAAAAATAAGAAGTGTAAGCATCGGAGTGTTATTAAGCGTTCACAATATACAGAGGTGGTCAAAAGTATTTACACAACGTGTTTTTTTTTCAATTGTCAACTTTGATCGCTTATTGCTGCTGCTTTTGTATTCAGAAACGAACATAACGGTATTTGTCGTGCTTCTACATCTATACAGAAGCAAACGAAAGAAGAAGTGTAAAAAATAACTGTTCATGGGCTAAAAATAGAAGCATTGAACTTGTCAGAAGTATTTACACACAATTTTTACACATCAAAATTATTTACACAGTGCAAATTGAAGATTAGTCTTTGATTTGCATTGAGTAAGTGAAGTTCCAGTTGATCTTGATCGCTTAATTGGAACTTAAACTAACTGCTAACAGTTAAATTAATAGATTAAACTAAGCATTTAATTTGTAAAATTGCAAAAACAAAGGAGCTATCAGTTGAGCATCGAGCCGAGATTGTCACTAAATTTAAGGCTGGTACTTCTGCATCCAAATTAGCTGAGTTGTACAAAATATCACGTAAAACTGTGTACAATTTAGTTAAAAAAAAGGACACACTGGGAAATTTGGAAAATAAAAAGAGAACTGCCCGAAAAGTTGCATTGAACCCAAGAGACTGCAGACACATTATAGGAGTTGTACTAAGTAATCCCACCATAAGTACCGTTAAAATTGTTGCAGCTTCGAAAAATTTAATTGGGAAACATATTAGCG